TAAAACTTAAATTCAGTATATCAAAGAACCCCATATTATTTTTTTTGTTAAAATCACACAAAATAAAAATTTCTTACACATCCATACACTTATACTAAAGTTATTTTCTGTGAACCAATTTATTTTCCATGAACCAGTAATGTAAACCACAAAAATAGTTCTCTAAAATCAGATATGATGCAGTATCTATTTTCAACTTTGACCCAACTTAAAATTTCTGTTAATTGTGCAATACATCTCTGAATTTAGATTCTGACCAAATATGTAATAATAGCATAGTTTCTGACACAGAATGAATGTTCTTAAATAATATTAAAATTGGACATTTACCAATTATGGTCCAATATTCAAATTCTAAATACATGGTTGGAATCAGCATATAAATAACCACAATATTTAATTTTTTTGTTAAAATCAAACTAAGTTTTATTCTTGGATACTTCGGACCTTTATGGGGTCCAGTTTGAAAAACGGGCCCAAAATCAAAAATTTATATAAAACACTGTTAGATTGCACACATTAAAGAACACCAATGATTTAATTTTTGAAGGAATCAAACAAAGTTTAATTTTGGACCCAAATTTGGACCAACTTTGAAAACCAAGCACAAAATCAAAAATCTAAAACACTGTTGGATTGACCATATCAAATAACACAAACAATTTATTTTTTTGATGAAATCAAACAAAGTTCAATTTTGGACACCAATTTGGACCAACTTGAATACTGTGCCCAAAATCAAAAATCTAAATACATGCTTAGATTCAGCATATCAAAGAACCCCAAACATTCTTTTTTTTTTTTTTTTTTTTAAATCAAACAAAGTTTAATTTTGGACCCTTTGGACCTTAATACAGATCATGCCCAGAATCAAAAATCTAAATACACACTTAAATGCAGCATATCAAAGAACCCTAAGAATTCAATTTTTTTTTTAAATGAAAAAGTTTTATTTTGGACCCTTTGGACCTTAATGTGAACCAATTTGAAGACAGGCCCCGAAATTAAAAAATCTAAATACACAATTAGATTCAGCATATCAAGGAACACCAATAATTTAATTTTTATAGAAATCAAACAAAGTTTAATTTTGGACCCTTTGGACCTTAATATGGATCATTTCAAAAACAGACCCTAAATTGGTAAAATTTCATAGAGATCCATACTTTTATTCACAAATTATTGTCCTGAAACAAGAAAAATGCTTGTTTTTGACCCTTAATTACTAAACAGCTACAACAATAACCCCCAAAATAAATCCAAACCTTCCTATTGTGGTATGGAACCTTGTGCTTAAATTTAATAGAGATCTTTTAAGTTAAACTCAAGTTATTGTCTGTGAACCAGACAAATAATTGTTTTTGTTAGGCCCTTTTGGCCCCTAAGTCCTAAACAGCTACTATAATAACCCCCAACCTTCCTATTGTGGTATGGAACCTTGTGCTAAAATTTAATAGAGATCCATACACTATACTCAAGTTATTGCCTGCAAACCAGAAAAATAGTTGTTTTCAGCCCCTTTTAGGCCCTAATTATTAAACGGTTTGGGCCATGACCATCCAAAAATCAATCAAAACTTTCCTTTAGAAGTATGGAACCTTGTGGTAAAATTTCATAGAAATCAATACTCTAATACACAAATTATTGTCCTCAAACATGAAAAATGCTTGTTTTTGGCCCCTTTTTGGCCCCTAATTACTAAACTGCTAGGACAATAACCCCCAAAATAATTCCCAATCTTCCTATTGTGATATGGAACCTTGTGCTAAAATTTAATAGAGATCCATACACTTATACTCAAGTTATTGTCTGTGAACCAGACAAAAAATTGTTTTTGTAAGGTACTTTTTGGCCCCTAATTCCTAAACAGCTATGACAATAACCCCCAAAATTAAAACCAACCTTCCTATAGTGGTGTGGAACCTTTTGCTAAAATTTTGACCAAAGATATATACACCTATACTCAAGTTATTGTCTTAAAACCAGACAAATAATTGTTTTTGGACACTTTCTGGCCCCTAATTACAAAACAGCCAAGACAATAACCCACAAAATCAATCCAAACCCTCCTACTGTGGTATGGAACCTTGTGCTAAAATTTCTTACACATCCATACACTTATTCTAAAGTTATTGTCTGCGAACCAATTTATTTTCTATGAACCAGTAAAACTGACCTTTTTTGGCCCCTTATTACAAAACCGCTTGGACAATAAACCCCAAAAAAAATCCCAACCATCCTTTAGTGATATGAAACCTTGTGCTAAAACTTCATAGAGATCCATGAATTTATACTCAAGTTATTGTCTTCGAACCAAAATGTCTTCAGACGCAGATGCAGACAACACCATAACATAATACGAATGCAAATAAATTTGCGGTCGTATAAAAAATTAAGACAAGACCAGCATAATACAACAGCACTTTCAAGGCTAGGATGACTTTTCTTCATAAAAAGGTCGAAATTTATTTATGAAGAGATTGAGTCGATCTTCAAGTTTTTGTAATTTGCATAACCATTTCTCACCAATAAGAATGTTCTTATTGACACCATTGACAACTACAATGAATTCTTTGATATGTAAAAATAAGATGTTGTATGATTGCCAATGAGACAAATATCCACCAAAGTTCAAATGAATTGGATATAAGCAATTATAGGCAACCGTACAGCCTTCAATAATGACAAAAACCCATACCCGTATAGTCGGATAAGGCCCCGACTTGAAAAGTATGAAACAATTCAATTGAGAAAAAACTAACGGCCTAATTCATAACAAAACAATTTACGAAAAACAAATATGACAGACATGAACAATTGACAACTACAATAAAAAAAAAACATTACTGTAAAACATAAGGGCATATACTACAAGCATGGGGACACAATCTACAGCATCAACACAGCACGAGCAAGAAACCCTGCAATCAATATAAAAATAAGGAGATGTGGTATTGTTCAGATGTGGTATTTTTTTCTGTTTGTATTTTACCATATATTTTTCCTTTTGTGATTATAATTTTGCAGCGAGATTCTGTTATTTCAGAATCCATTTAATTTTCAATAAATCCAATCACTAGAATAAGGTTGAGATGTCTGAAAAATAAGTACACTGTTGTACATGTACACTTCTCCGCAACTCAATTTTTTTGTCTGTGGTTAACATATTGTACAAATAGAAATTTGGAGATGCAAAATGCTGGATTTTGTTACAATATAAAAATAAGAAGATGTGGTATGATTGCCAATGAGACAACTCTCCACCAGAGACCAAATGACATTTTAAAGTTAACGACTATAGGTCACTGTAAGGCCTTCAACAATGAGCAAAACCAATACAACATGGTCAGCTATAAAAGGACCTGAAATGACAAATGTGAAACAATTCAAACAAGAAAACTAATGGCCTGATTTAATTGACCAGCACTCAATTACAGGTTCCTGACATAGGACAGGCACATATAGAATGTGGCGGGGTTAAACAAGTTTGCTACCGCCATACCCTCCACATAACCTAGGACAGTGATGTAACAGTACAACATAAGAACAATGTATGTAACAGTGATATTATAGTACAACATAAGAACAATGTAAAGCTCCTTTTGGTGATAGGTTCCTGTTGTACTGTATTTAACTCATGAAGATAAAGGATTCTGCCCTTTACCTATATCTTCCATCTATTTAAATTTCATTCCAGTCAATCAAGGGAAACTGAAGTTACCAACTGGAAATCTGTTTACAATTTTTTACTGTAAATTCAGAAATTCTTGGGATTTCGGAAAAATTAATGAAAATGCAAGTTTAATTATTGGGATTTTAAGAAAAGATATTTACAGATATATGGATCAGATATCATAATGCGAGTTCTTATTATTGCAATACTCAACTAGTTGCAATATTTGCAATAATTTCTGAATTTACAGTATTCCATTTTTTGAAACAATGACCTTGAATTCTGACCTTTTTACCACAAAATCAAAATGCTGATTCAATTTTTCAATATCTTCCTTCTATAAAAGGTTTATTTTGATTTTTAAAGTTTCTGTCTATCTAATATAGTTTTTAAGATATTAGGCAAAAACACCAAAAAAAAATGGTAAAAATCGTCATTATAAGGCAATAACTCTAATAAGGAGTTGACTGAAGATTTCAGCTACATTGACTTATTTGTAGATCTTGTCTTGCTGATCATTTTTTGGTATTTAAAGTTTCTGTCTATCTATTATAATCTTCAAGATAATAGGCAAACATTTTTAAAAATGGTAATATTCATCTTTAAAGGGCAATAACTCCTATAAGAAGTCGACTGACAGTTTTGCCTTAAATGAACAATAGGTAGAGCTCAACATTCTGAACATTTTTACCCTTGTCAGACAGATTCCCTCCATTTACAGCGGTTTTCAAAATAATAGGCAAAACTTGCATTTTTAGAATCAGTTGAAAAGGGCTCAACTCATCAGATAGATACAAAGCAGAAAAACAACCAACAAAAACACTGACTGAAAGTGGCAGGAAATTTATACATCTCTCACAACAATGAAGACACAAAGTACAGATCTGAGAGTACTCACAGTTACTGACAGCTAGTTCAAAGCCAATAACAACTGATAAAAAAATCATGTATCTAAGATTAAAATATCAATCAGTACACAGCCAACCTTTTTCTTTTTGTTCTTCGTTTCCACATTCTTAATAAGGCTAAGACAATACTATTTGATGATCAGCTGTTTTAGCACATAGAATATCCTACTAAATGCCAATGTTTTACAATTCTTTAGAAAACAATTCTTAATTGACATAGTATTTTTTGGTGTCAAAAGGAGCTCCCTTTCAAAAATAACTTGTTGTCTCAACTTCAATGATGTGAATAACTAAACTATATGGGAGATGTAATATTAGTCTATCAGGAACAATGCAGTAAATATGTGATACCATCAAGAGAAAGCGTGCATGGCAATATCTTCGAGGTGGCTAAATATTGTTGTTAGATATTTACTTACCAGGTTAGGAATAAGTTTTTCTGGTGGTAAATGTAAGGCCATAGTGTCAATTACCTGTAAAATATCTAAATTCATTGATTAATTGATGGACAATTTGTTGCTAAATGCCCAGAGGCAAAATTTATAGATTGAAAGAGGATGCATGGAATATGTATATTATATAATTGTTGTTCATTTAGTTTTCCCTGTGGTTTTGTACACACTGACTATTCTTCAAGAAATTAAAAACCTGTAACCTGGGAAATCTCTTAAATGTTTTACTGATTTTTAGTCAATCTTGTAATGAAATTCAACCGATAACACATAAACTTAACATTATCAACAAGATGCTTTTAATGGCAGCCATCAGAGAGGGCCCTGCAGCATGTAAACAAGTAAATTGTATTCCAAGAACATGTATATGCATAGAGGCATGTTAGGTCAACTACCTTTGTGACCAAGGTCATTAATGTACATTTGTTTCATGTACGTGGCACACCTTCTAGTAGTGGTTAATAATCATGCTAAGTTTCATCCCTCAACTCTTAGGGATTTTAAAGTAAGAGAGCAGCAACGACTTTTGTATATTTGCAAAGGGGTGGGCAACTGGCTAAGTTGCCCTAAGTTTTTTACCATAACTTATAATCAGTGTACATTTTTCTTCCTTGTATGCAGAATGGCCACAGTAGTCTCTTGTTTGCCTGGTTTGTGGAAGGTCATTGGTTCGATCCATGGCAAGGTCAAACCAAAGACTTTAAAATTGGTCTTGCTGTTTCTCTACTAAGCATGTTGCATTAAGGAGCAACAGCTTGGAGTCAGAATAATGTGTCCTGGTAGGGTGACGTGTCTTCCTGCGGACTGTTACCCTGTGAACTAGCACGTTAAAAATCTGACTCAAACGTGTCAGTCTAGTACAATGCAGGTTTAATATTCATATTACATTAGCAAGTTTTCGTCCTGAATATGAATTTAATTTGCTGCTGGACATTAAGCAACTAACCATCATCATCATCATCCTTCTTTGCAATAAGCCTTCTAGTAGTGGTGAATAATCATGTCAAGTTTCATAACAGGACAAGGAATTTTTAAGTTATGAACAGGAGTATAAAATTGCATTAGGTGAACATGTTTTTGTCTGAATTAAATTAAGTGAGGAAACAATTTAAACAAGACCTTCCATTCATTTTTCTTGCCAAATTAATTCAATTAAGCCCAAAAATATTTACAAGAGATGATGAAAATGCTAAAATTTATCAGATGAAGGGACATGTACTGGAAATAGCTCATACTAAGTTTTGGCATGCAGAGTGAGCAAACAAGGAATACCAGTAATTATTACCTGAGGAGCATATTGTGCTGGTTTATAAGACTCCAAATCTTCTTCATCTTCTTCTGCATTATCTTCTTCACCACTACCACACATCAAAGCGAATAAAACATTTAGTACAGGATCAACTAGCTTCATTTTCAAAAATGCCTGAAACACAACAAGAACTTAGATGCAATGTTGTGCTTAGTATACACCCACACATTATTAGGCATCAACAAAAAGCCATGCTAAGTGGGTAAATAAACAGGAATTGACTGTTCAGCATATCTGTAAATTGCTCCCATGATACAACTCAACATTATAAAGTCCATGATCAAATACATTATCATTTCTAAAACAGATTGATTGATTGATTGTTGCTTGTTTTAAAGTCTAGTGTAAGAACATTCAAGAAAGTAAAACAAATTTAAAATACAAGAGGCTGTCAGAGTGACAGCAAACCAGATTTTCCTGCAGAGGTCAAACCCTGAACAGTTGAGCAAGTATGGACACAACATTTAAGCTCTGAATTTGGATTGTGATTGAATATTTAATACAGCATGGGTTTGTGACACAAAATAAATGTGGTAAAAGAACTGAAAAATTTGAAATTGAACATTTACCTATTATGGTCAAATATCCAAATGCTAAGTACATTGCTAGAATCACCATATCAAAGAACCCCAAGAATTCAATTTTTGATGAAATACTTCTTAGTTAAACCATTTCTGTTTAAATGGAAATAACTTAATCTTTATTTCCATGAACTAATCATGTTAATCTAAAATTAAATATGATTAAACCATAGACTCTAAAATTAGATATGATGTAAAGAGGTATGATGTTATATTTATTTTTGAATTATAATCAAATATAAATAATAGTTTTCGAATAAATCTGTCACTCCAATTATAATTGGGTGATTGCATTGAAAATTTCCAGATGTGACTGTTATCTTATCACTTAGTGTATAAATCAAAATCAAACTTTATATATATAGTTGGTAGTTCCCAATATTTTTTCTTTCATCTGTAACATACTAATATAGATCTGCAACTTATCTTATCTTAATTTTAACTTTTTAACTTATACATAATAGATTATTATCTAATGAATAATGCTCGCGAATTGAAAGGTCATTTCCCCTTGAACAGAACTATGGTTTAACCTTTTAACAAAGTACTCTAACATTAGGTATATAATTATTAGTAATGTAATTAACTTCAAAATGTCTATCTCTAAAAAACCTATAAAACTTATCTGTAATTATCTTCAAACTGTCTAATAATGAACCGTAAATTTCAACCTTCATTTATACAGTCCTACTAGTAAATTTCAAACTTTATATATATACAGTCCTACAGATCTTATCAGGAAACAGAAAATTTTCAAATAAATCTGTCACTCCAATTATAATTGTGAGATAAGACTTTTACCATATGCTTTACCTTAGTCATAATATGATGACAAGAGAGAAAAATATTTAAAAATACCAATTTTGGATATTAAAAATGGCGATAACTCAAAAAGGAGAAATACTAAAATCTTGAAAATTGAACTAGACCTTCATTAAGTCCCAGGAAACAACATATTTAAATTTGAAAAAAATTTGTTAAGCGTTTTCATGTTATTGTGGAGACACTGTTTGGCAGCCGCCCGCCCGCCCGCCCAGCCGCCCGCAGTACATCCCCAATTTAATAACCGATATTTCCTTCGAAAATCCGGTTAATAAAACATTCCTACACATAGCTGTGACTTTGTCAACAAGTAAAATAGTTGGGTAATTTTGGTATCTGAAAGCTTAATAACTGTAGAACCATTGTTGAAAGTTTCTTATGAATACTAAAAAAAAATAAGGAAATTTAAATAGGTCATATTTGTCCTGCTGCTCCGATTAGAAGTACCTGTTTTTACACTACTAAACTTCTTGGAAACAGTGCGCACTAATATGCAATTAAAGGTATGTTGAAGTTTTAAGGACAAGTAAAAAAAAATAGCTATCAATTCTAGAAATTGTAGAATTTAACATAGATAGCAATGGGGCTATACATAAGTGGTTTTATTCCTTTTAAAGCATTGATATTTACACCCCAAATAGGCCAAAGCATTACTACCATATAAAGTAGTTTAAATTGCTATGATTATTTGAAAATCTAATTAAATAGGGGGGGTTCAATTTTGAATGGTAAGGGGTTAAAATACCATACAGTTGGGTGCAGACCAAGCATTACATAAAGTAAACGCAAGTTAACGCTGCTTGCACATATTTCATTAGTTAACTTCAATTTTCGCATTTACTAGTAAACGCGCGTTAAATTTCTAATGTCTACCCGAGTAAACGGGCGTTTACTCTGTGTCCGTTTAGTCAGTAGTAAACGGGCGTTTACTTCAGATTTCACAAATTTATTTTTATGTGCACTTAAAAGTAAACGGGCGTTTACTACAGATTTCACAAGTGTATTTTTATGTGCACTTGAAAGTAAACGCGCGTTTACTTTTCGCGTTAACTTATTGTGTAAATTAAGAACTAAACTTCGTGTTCATTTTATTAAAACGACTTTTATCTTAATATTTTACGTATATGAATTTCAAACCAGAACAATTCAAAAACACTTTTAATTCGAAATATTAATTTTATTAAATTACAAAAAATCAGTTCCAATAACTTTACTGATTAGCAGATTTTCTACATTATCTTTTCAAAAGTTACATGTACAAATATCGAGGCGGATAGAAAGGTTATCCTACACATCGGAAAAATATTTGTATATAATGGGATATAAACATCATGGTTTACGTTGCTTCGTTCCCCATTTTAAACTGTCTCTTTGAATTCCTATATACTATGAGGTATAACTCGATGCATTAATATTTAATACATTATTTTTAATCGTAATTCACCTTGTTTGATTGGATTTACATGATTTAAGCTTCTGTATTGCCAAATGTTCAAACGAAAATTGTACAGTGTATTGAAAGGAATATTGATAAAGTGTTGTATAAGTATGTACATTTGTACCATCTCGTCAATTTAAACAGACTTATCCATAAAGATTATAAAGGATATTTGGGACGTCCGAAAAATATACTCGATCTGAACATGAATGAAATATTGCCACTGGACGTTATGCTACAAACAAAATCAATCAACCTACATATAAATATATTAACAGTATACATGTACTATTCCTAGAAGAGAACTTCTCATAGTTTTCATTATAAAGTACATGAATCAGTCATGTGAGTGTTGAATGATGCCGTTAAATAGTTTTGTTTAAAATAAAAACAATCACGAACTGCTGACATAAAAATATAACTGCTTTACTATGTGACTATAAGATTTACACCATAAAATGCAAATATGGTCAGTTTTGGTTGATGCGGACAAATAATTTTGTTATGCAAGTCAAGTCTGAGGTGTGAAAACTACCGAAATTTGTTTGTGATTCAATATTTTGAATAAAAAAATGACATGCTGGCACTCAAAATTGATGCGAACAAAATTTTTTAGTCATTATGTTCCAATATTGCTATAATTTGTTTTATACAATCCATCCTTACATGAAAATATTACTGATTTACTATGCGACTATAAGATTTACATAATAAAGTGCAAATATGGTCAGTTTTGGTTGATGCAGACAAATAATTTTGTTATACGAGTCAGTCTGAGGTATAATAACTACTGAAATTTGTTTACGATTCAATATTTTGAATAAAAAAAAAGTACATGCTGGCACTCTAAATTGATGCAAACAATTTTTTTTTAGTCAATATATTCCAATATTGCTATCATTTGTATTATACAATCCATCCTTACATGAAAATATAACTCATTTACTATGCAGCTATATATATTTACAAATTAAAGTGCTAATATGGTCAGTTTTGGTTAATGTGGACAAATAACTTAATGATACGAGTCAGTTTGAGGTATGAAAACTACTAAAATTTGTTAACGATTCAATATTTTGAATAAAAAGAGGACATGCTGTTTCTCTAAATTGATGCAGAAAATTTTTTGTAGTCATTATGTTCCAATATAACTATAATTTGTTTTATACAATCCATCTTTACATGAAAATATTACTGATTTACTATGCGACTATGATATTTACATAATAAAGTGCAAATATAGTCAGTTTTGGTTGATGAGGACAAATAATTTTGTTAAACGAGTCAGTCTAAAGTATGAAAACTACTGAAATTTGTTTACAATTCAATATTTTGAATAAAAAGTGGACATGCTGGCACTCTAAATTGATGAGAACAAAATTTTTTAGTCATTATATTCCAATATTGCTATCATTTGTATTATACAATCCAATCTTATATGAAAATATAACTCATTTACTATGCGGCTATATAGATTTACATAATAAAGTGCTATAATGGTCAGTTTTGGTTGATGCGGACAAATAACTTTATGATACAAGTCAGTTTGAGGTATGAAAACTACTGAAATTTGTTTGCGATTCAATATTTTGAATAAAAAGAGGACATGCTGGTACTCGAAATTGATGCAGAAAATATTTTGTAGTCATTATGTTCCAATATTGCTATAATTTGTTATTTACAATCCATCCTTATATGAAAATATTACTGATTCACTATGCGACTATAATTTTTACATAATAAAGTGCACATATGGTCAGTTTTGGTTGATGCAGACAAATAATTTTGTTATACGAGTCAAGTCTGAGGTATGAAAACTACTGAAATTTGTTTACGATTCAATATTTTTAATAAAATAAGGACATGCTGGCACTCTTAATTGATGCGAACAATTTTTTTTTAGTAAATATATTCCAATATTGCTATCATTTGTATTATACAATCCATCCTTACATGAAAATATAACTCATTTACTATGTAGCTATATATATTTACAAATTAAAGTGCTAATATGGTCAGTTTTGGTTGATGTGGACAATTAATTTTATTAAAAGAGTCAGTCTGAGGCAAGAAAACTACTGAAATTTGTTAACGATTCAATATTTTGAATAAAAAGAGGACATGCTGGCACTCTTAATTGATGCGAACAAAATTTTTTAGTCATTATGTTCCAATATTGCTATCATTTGTATTATACAATCCATCCTTACTGGAAAATATTACCGATTTACTATGCGACTATAATATTTACATAATAAAGTGCACATATGGTC